TGGCTCAGCGGTTAAAGCGTCAGCCTGAGGTCCACAGAGACCCGGGTTCGGTTCCCGCTAAGGGCATGTACCTTGGCTGCAGTTTGTCCCCGGCCCTGATTGGGTCGTGTGGGTGGCGGCCACTCGATGTGTCCCTTTCACATCGATGTTTCTCTCTCTTCCTCTCTCCTTCCCACTCTGAGTAAAAAATGGAAAAATGTCCTCGGGTGAGGATAAAAAAAAAAGGTAAATAAATAACTACCTTGCCGTATGACTGTGAAGATTCAATGCATTAAAGATGCTAACTAGCCCAGGCTTATCCTTACTAATTCCTCCCAGCATGAGAATCACTTAGGAATTAATGCCCAGTCTGTTCTACACAGTCACATACTGATTTTAACTGCCTTGGAACTCCTTTCGGTGGCTCCTTCACATACTGAAGCTTCACTGAATACCTTCTGTGGAGATGCAATTGCTTAACTGATCAATGCACGTTTAAAATAGTTATAAGTCATGCAAAGCTCCTTCTACAGTTGCGAAGAGCAGGCCAACTCTGAGTACAGTTTCTATGTGTTCTCCCGCCACCCTCACCTCTACTTGAAAACATAGTTGCAACCCTGGGCAAAGTTCCATGTTTTCCAACTTTGCTTCCCATTTCTCTGGATTTTTTGCTGCCAGTGAAGGTTCCTCTCCATTATCCAGGGATATAGTGCTGTCTAGCTCATTTCACCCTGCCCATGGAAACATTCCCCATTGGCAGCAAGTCCCTCATTCTCCTTGATTAAATGGTTTGCATCCCAAACTTTTGAGCTGTAGAGTTGGCACTGATTTGTGCCACAAACGCAGAGTCTAAATCTGTTCTCCTGACCATCACATACACCACACCCAGCACCTAAAAGCACCTAACACAGAGCCTGGTACTTAGCAGGTTTTCAATGACTGATGAATGCAAGAATCACTCCATACATGAACGAATGCATTGCTGAATGAACACGCAAATGGATACATTCAGGAGCCCAGAGACCTGGCTTTCATTTAAGCCTCAGCTCTTCACTGACTGACATAAATGACCTCAGGGCAAGCCACTGAATCTCTATGTCCAAATATCCTTCTCTGTGAAATTAGGTGGTTAGACTCCACTAAAAATCTCTGTATGTTTTCTTCCAGCTCTAACAACTGAGCCCATGAACTTTAACAAAGAGTAAAACACTTTTTATTTCTTTTTTTGAGAAATTTTAGTCAACACAAGGTGGGCAGGGGTATTTTTCTGAAATCACATACCAGGGGTCCCTCCCCGTCAGAGAGCACCTTGTTCCCTGGGGACAAAAGGCTCTGGAGAGCATGCAAGCTGCAGATACTGAAGACAGCTCTGAGACCCTGAGCACCATGGAGCTTGTGTGTCACGGGCTTCTTTCAAGGATGTAGAGTCGATCCTGTCCTCAAAAGGGGTCCATGGGGACCTCTGCTGCCTGCTGTCTCCCACCCACAGCTCCTCCTTTTCTAGCCTGAACAAGGTGGGCTTATACACTGTCTCCCAGGCTCCAAATCTAACTCAATCCCTCTCCCTGCCATCTGCCTAAGGCTCCCACATGCATATTTCATGATTTCTGGCACATTTCCTCCTTATCTGACATCCTGCAATGCATCCCTCTGCTGCCTATATTATTTCTGTCTCTGGTGAGAATGTTCCTGAAAGACGCATGTGTCCTTGGGCTGTACTTTATGATTGGGCAGTGTTACCTTTCCTATCTTATCTCCCCACTTGGTCCCCACATGAATTCCTTGAGGACAGAGACCACACCCTCTGTTCTCCTCTAGTTCCCCACAAGACCAAGGACAGAGCTAGCTAGGCAAGCAGCACACCCTTATTGAATGAATGAAATAATGAAATAACTGACTCATTTCAATGTTTTTAAATTAAAAATTCATATTAATATACTTTCTGCATAAACTAAGACCTCCCTTTTAGGTATACAACCAGGATAAGCCAAATATATTATTTTCCTAGGACTGAAATAAAATGTATTTCACTACAATGTGAATAACAAGAACATTATCAGCTGCATAAGAATTCTGATTTTTCGGGTATCCATACCATAATAATGTGGCATCACTTTTATTTCCCAGTAAAAGCAGACCTTACCTGTATCTGGGGAGGAAAAAGGGCAAACACCCTTTTGTGTTAATTAGTCCAACTACCATTGTTATGTGTTGAAGCCAGAGAACTGGGGGAAATCAGAACAAGATATGAGCATTTTCTCTAAATAGAACATTTCAATCTAATAGAACATTGCTGATTAGAGCAGAGCATCTTTTTAGAAATTCCTCGGACTTACTTAGCTAACTCTAATTCTAGTCACATTCTTTCCTTGAGGCTTAATAAACTTCAGCTAAAATCAAACTGACTTGGGAATCAAATTATTTGTTCTCCCATGCACTTGCTGGTCATGGTTGATCACCGACTAAAACAATGCCAATGGTCAACACAACACTGACAGAGGGAAAACATTATGGCTGTGCCATCAAAGCTTCATATAGCTTAATGCTATAAGCCCCATTAGCCTCCCCAGCTCAACAGTTAACTTAAACAACTTCATTATTTCTTGGAAATCATTATTCTTGTACATAAGCATAAAGTTATCATTGTCCAACATATGATATAATTAGAGAAAAACTGTGTATTGATATAGGAGATACTACAATTGGAGAGACTCAATGACTGAGAAGTAACTGAGACTTGAAAAGATTGAGCCCATTAAGTAGATAATCAGTGTTTATGGGCTGTACATATGTGATAACATAGTATGTCTTCCAGCTCCAATCAAACCATGTCAGAGCACATACTCCTAGGTGGGCAGTGAGAGCACCTGAGACATCATAGTAAAACACCAAAGAAAAGATAAATTCACTTTGAGGCTAATATGTATATTGCTAAAGTAATAGAAGCCGTTACATGGGTTTGCCCACATTTACCCAACTGGTCAAGTCAAAGTATTTTAAAGTTAGAGTGCAATTCTGAGTTACTCATTACATTACTCTTCACTCTACAGAAGATAAATGCAGGCAGAGATGGAGCATCTTATCAAAGCTCATACTGGTCAGAGGCTGTATTAAAACTCAGGTCTCTTGCCCTGGCCAGTGTGGCTCAGTTGGTTGGGGCATCATCCCTTACACTGAAAGGTTGTAGGTTCGATTCCCAGTCAGGACACATTCCTAGGTTTCAGTTCAATCAGGACACGTATGGGAGACAAGCAATCAATGTTTGTCTCTCTCCCTTCTCCTCTCTCTAAAATCAATAAGCATGTACTACCACGAGAATTTAAAAACAACAACAACAAAACATTTAGGTCTCTTAAGTCCAGCTTCATGAGCAACACAAAGAACATTAAATTTCAAAATTAAAAAGGCACATAGCAGGCAGGCAACAAATATTTGTTAATATATTTGAGGAAAGAGAGATAGAGGATTATAGAACTACCTTGATATAGTATCTACTGACAGGATAAGCCAAGTAATTTCCTCCAGTTTTAACTTTGACTTGTCCAATATAGACTAAACCTCTTAATGCTATAAAGCATCCCTTGTGCGATCAGTAATGCTATTGGAACAATTACTGAAGCATGCAAGTTGGTGGTGAAACCAAAAGCTTTGTAGCATTCTTACAAAGTGCATTTGGAAAAAATCTATCCACAAAACAATGTGGGTTTCCAAACCCATGAGGTGTAGCTTCAGTGGAGAAATCTATAAAAGGCAGGTATGACTAAGCGACCACAAATAATTAGAAACATCAAAACTATCAGGAGTCTGTGGACCACAGCATGCCTGCCTATACAGATAAGTTGGCATTTCCCATCTATTGTTCCTAATGCAAAAGGGAGTCTTTTCCGTACTACAGTGTTTGTTTCTCCTTAAATAAAAAGCCTCAATTGCTTATAAGGATTTGCAAACAATGTTTTATTCTATCCTCCATCCCACCTGCTTCAGAAACAAATATGAGGACAATTGGGTTGAGTTGCTGGGCACTCAACTAATCAGATCAAATTTTAAGCAACCCATATTACACTTTTTCATGTATTTATATATGTATTATATATCTCACAAAGAGCCTCTTAAATCTATAGTTCAACTCTGAGTTAAAAAAAAAAAGTCTTAATAATTATGTAAAATAGTGCTACATGTTACTCAGTACTCTATCAAGTATACTACTGAATTTTCCTTAAAGGCTGGCATCTGGCTATTTAACTTCTCTTCTTCCTAAAAAAAAAAATCTTTCTAAAATTATTGAAGAATATCGATCAAACAAAATAGCTTACCATAACTAAAGAGACCACCATTTATACACCCCCAAGATGAAATTGACCACAGCATTAGGCAGGGAAGAATCCGAACACACACATTTATATAAAGATGTAAAAATATTTACAGTAATCCAGGCAAAATAATAATAATAACAAAACAAAAATTTCTAGCACAACAGGATAAACCTTGGTTCACCGTTCTCTTTGCGCAGGTATAAAACTAAAGAAATGTATTTAGTGAGGAAGTACTTAGTGAGGAAGGGTGGGTAGAGACCAATTTCCACTTAAACTTTTTTCATTCAAGAGCTAGGTTAGCAAACTAAGCAGCCGAAAAAGCTCCCGTACAAAACTTAACCAGGCTGAAAAGTCCAAAATCGGGAGTAATTAACACCCAGGGAAGAAGAACCCCGAAGCTCTTGGGCTACCCCTTCCCCAAATTCCCGAGTCACACAACTGGAGCCGGGTGCTTCCCGCGCTGTCTCCCTCGCTGGCGGTGCGGGAGCAGCTCGGGGTGAGCCCGGGTCCCCCACCCACCTTTGCTCGCGTCCTTTTCATTGTCCGAGGGTGATGATCACCTGGCGGGCGCCGGCTCGCGCGGCCCGACGTGCCGCGCACGGAGACGCGCTGGGGCGAGCGCCCCGCTCCTGCCGCAGGACCCGCACCGGGGGCCCCCCACCCCGGCTAATCCGACCCCGGCCCGCTACGGGTCCCCGCCGTGCTCACCGCCACGAAGCCCGAAGAGGAGGCGATGAACACGCGGATGACCATCCTCTCCACGCACCGGGACGCGCTGTCTGCCCCTTGGGCTCTGGGCTAGCGCGGGCGCGGAGGCAAAACTCGGCTGAAAACCGCGGCGCTACCGAGCAGAGCGCTTCCTCCGGGAAAGATCGCAGGGATCTAGATCCCTCCCTCCAGGACTACAGATAAAAAAGCTCAGCGCCTCTCCGCCGCCAGCCCGAGCAGTGGAGGGGGAGGGGGAGAAGGTGGAGGGAGGCGGGTGAGGGGCATGATGGGAGTTGTAGTTTCCGTCTTGCCTGGAGTGACTGGTGGACTGAGGACCATCAGGTTGCCTCCGTATTGCGCGTCAAGCCCGTACCCCTGCAGGTGGTTGTAAGAGAGCGCGAGGCTGGGGACAAGCTGTGATAAGGGGTGGCAAGGATGCCAGGGAAACGAGGAAAAAGAAAATTAGGAAAAAGAAAATTAGGCAAAAGGGCTTGGTTCAAAGTCCAGGCTTATGTTCTGTGTTGTGGTTTACTGGTTTGGAGCATCCCCACCCAGCCATCTGCGCGGGGCCAGCCCCAGCGACCTGCGGCCGTCGGGATGGGGCGGGCAGGGCTCTCAGGAGGCGGTGGCAGTGTGGGCAGCGGGCTGGGCGGACCTCTGTTTTCCCAGTGACTCTGGAGATTGCAGAAAGGTGATTCCTTTAGATAAATGAGAGGTTTTCTTTTTAGGCAGACACTGAAAATTAGAAACCCAGATGAGAGCACAACAGATATTTTATTTTTCTTAGCAAAACTGTAATTGTAGTAGAAATAAATACCAAGTGAAATTAGAATCCTTCTATCAACGTTGGGAATCAGGACCCCACCCGCTCCACCCCCTACCCTACACAATGGCTTTGCCTCTGTGCACCTAATATTTACAGTTGAGCCAAATCTGTGCCTTTTTCAGACCTGCTGCACATTCCAGCGCAGTCTCCCTGGAGAATGCTGTTAAATAAAAAAGCTTTTATGTAGTTGCTAATAGTTTAGGAATAGTTCTTTAGCAAGTGCTTCTGTTCAACAAAAGCACAAGCCTTTCACAGTTTAGTGGAAATGAACCAGTTTTCCCTGCAGTACTGTATTTACTTTCTTCCTTTCAGCAGGGGAGTTTAGCAGAGTTCTGGGAACAATGTTAATTAATAATTCTAGAAACAAAGAAATTAGGTGATGAGGTCTCTTGGAAAATGTCTTGCACAAATACTAATCGGTTTGGGCCATTTGTTTTTTAGAGTGATTTTAAATATTTTAAGTTTATAACCTTTCCTATTACTTATTTTAAGTCATCGTAGTATTCCTTTTTAATTTAGTATAATAACAGAAGATACCATCTTAAGGGGACTTTATTTCTTCTTAGTATTAAACAGTTTTAAATATAAGCTTTGCTATAATACTAGCTCTCTTCAAATATAATTTGGCTACCATAAATGTGAAAATGAATGCTTATAAAATGTAAAATAATTTTCTTAAAGGTAGATACTAATTTCCTATATAAATGTAACTTTATAAAAGTCACCATTTTCTTCCATTTGAAATTATATAGCGTTGATGATATGGTTAAACTCAACAAATAAGAATTCAGAGGCTATTCACTGAAAGGTACAAGAATGGATGAAAAAATGAAAAAGTCATTTTGTCAGTCAGCAGAGCACCTATTGTCTGCAAAAGAAAAAGGTACAGAAATAGCGACAGAACAAGAAACGCTGTACCAACAGAGTGTTGTGTGGATATAAAGGAAAGAGAGGGAAAGGGTGGCTTTTTAGAAGAGACTTTAAAGATGAGTAGAATTTTTGCTGCAGATAGGGGAGAATGCAGGGTGAGAATTTGCAGAAGATGTGAGAATAGCAGAGTTGGTTTTGCTTCAGAAAGAGAAGTGAGGGGACTTATAGGGGACATGGCCGAAAAAAGAGATTTGAATGAATACAGCAAGAGACTCTCCTGGGTTGTCTGCCTAGTTCCTTGCCCTTTTCTGGAATCTGTTCTGCTCTGATCCAAGAGGTTACAGTGATGATGTGGCCCCCCAAACCCTGTTCATACAGCAAGACCCAGACCCTTGGCCACAACTGATTGGTCTAGGGGTGAGCACCTGACCCAAACAAGGCCAGGCAACATCCCTACCATAAGGATTTTGAATTAAGACTGGGAAAGAAAGAGAATTTGTACTTTAACTTGTGAGGTGGAAGCTCAGTGCTTTCAGAAGCCATGTTCCAACATGAGAACCAGAGAAGCTTTAGAAGCTAGTTAGTAGGAAGAGAACAACAAAGCAGACATGTGGAGCGTGACAGAGATGAGTTTCAGAGTGTCCTGACAATTCTTTAGTCCTAAACCTGTGTGTCAAACCCAGCTGGTTGTATGTTTTGTAAATAAAGTTTTATTGGAACATATTCCTTTTCATATTGTCTATGGCAAAATGACAGAAACTGTACAGCCTGCAATGCCTGATACATTTACTATCTGGCTCTTTACAGAAAACATTTGCCAATCCCTGTTTATGGTTCAACCTATTTCTATATCCCTGCTCTTGAGGCTTGTGTCATATCCCTGTATCTATACCATTAATTCCTCCTCTAACTTACGTCACCTCAAATTTTGGTTGGTGCAACCAGAAGTGCCCTAACTGAGAAGTCTGTACTTAATTTTTAAGCATTGTTACAAAAAGAAGAATATGATCAGAGCTATACTTTAAGAATTACTCTAGTATGCCCTGGCCGGTTTGGCTCAGCGGTTGGAGTGCCGGCCTGCGGTACAGAGAGGCCCGGGTTCGGTTCCCGCTAAGGGCACGTACCTCAGTTTCAGTTTGTCCCCGGCCCTGGTTGGTCATGCGGATGGCAGCCTCTCGATGTGTCCCTTCACGTCGATGTTTCTCCCTCTCTCTCTTCCTCTCTCTCCCTCCCGCTCTGTCTTAACAAAAAATGGAAAAATAGTAATAATTAGCTATGTTTTTGCTACCCTGGGTGAAAAAATTTATCTCTAGAGCTTCTGTTCAGGACAGAGTGTTAGCAGTCCAAGAAACCTCAAAGGCCAGTATGGTGTTGAGACTAAAAGTTAGTAAACAAAGTGAAAGAGCGACCAAGAGTAGAAAGCAATCTGGGATTCAAGCTAGAGTACAGAGAAGATTAGATGCCCATTTGACAAGTAAAGGCTGCAGATAAACCAGGCAGCTGAAATTTAAAGACAGAATGCAGGAAATTGAGTAGCTCATTAGGTTTTGGGGAAGTTGTTCCTGCATTGCCTGAGACTTGATCTTTTTTTTTTTTTTTTTTTTTATCCTCACCCGAGGACATTTTTCCATTTTTTGCTCAGGTAGAGTGGGAGGGAGGGAGAGGAACAGAGAGAGAGAGAGAAACATCGATGTGAAAGGGACACATCGAGTGGCTGCCACCCGCACAACCAACCAGGGCCGGGGACAAACTGCAACCGAGGTACGTGCCCTTAGCGGGAACCGAACCCGGGTCTCTCAGGACCGCAGGCCGACGCTCTAACCGCTGAGCCAAACCGGCCAGGGCGAGACTTGATCTTCTTTACAAGTCAGGATAGACCTTCTGGCTAGAGTGGCTGTTTCTCTTAGCTTTATTGAGATATAATGGAAAATAACATTGTGTAAAGTTGAGGTATGCAACGTGATGATTTGATTTACATTCATATTGTGAAATAATCACCATAATAAGGTTAGTTAAGAGGCAGAGTATTTGTTTGTTTGTTTGTTTGCTTTTTAATTCCTCACCCGAGGATATTTTTCTACTTATCATCAGATAGACTGAGAAGGAGGGAGAGAGAGAGAGAGAGAGACAGAGAGAAACATCGATGTGATAGAGCCATATCGACTGGTTGCCTCCCGCACGACCTGACCAGGGCCGGGCACGAACCACATGTACATGCCCTTGATTGGAATAGAACCCACAACTCATTGGTCTGCAGGCTGACGCTCTAACCGCTGAACTGGTCAGGGTGAGGTAGAGTGTTTTAAAGCAGAGGTTCTCATCCTTCAGCAGTCTGGTGAAGACTATGAACCCTTTCTCAAAAAAAAATTTCGTAATATTGGGAACAGCCCTGGTGCCGTAGCTAAGTTGGTTAGAGCTTCGTCTCAACATACAAGAAGCAACCAATGAATGCATAAATAAGTGGAACAAATAATGGGTGTCCCTCTCTCTCCCCACCTCCAAAAAAAAAAATCAATAAATAAAAAAAATAAAATAAATACAGAAAATAAAAGAGACAAGATTACAAAAGAAACTACTTATATTGCAAAACAGTTATCAAATTATTAAACAATTTTTATATGGTTATATATATATATATACTTCTTTATTAATTATTAAGTATTACGATTTAGTAGTGGGTCAAAAAACCACCATGAAAATATTAAAATACTGTGATTTTTCTATTGGTAACAAAGTCACAAATGTTTGCTGCTATTACAGTGGTTTGTTGCCAACATTCGTAATTGAAGGAATCGGTAAATTTCGGTTAAAGTTTAGTGAAAATATAAAGATGTTATTTTTTCTTATTCAAGTTAATGAACTCTCTAAATTCTGTCAAGTTCCTTGTGGGATGGAGGTTGTGTTTGTGTTCAAGAACTCCAGGTTAAGAAATGGCGGTGTCTTGACTGTATCCAAATCTGTAACATCCAATAAATTTATCTAAGAAGAAAGTACAGAAAGAGACAAGAAGGAGCCATGAAGAGTCCCCTGGAAAACTCCTACATTTAAGAATTAGGAGTACAAGGAATTTAAAAGAGCGAAGGAGCGGTTGCAGTTTGTCCCCGGCCCTGGTCGGTCGTGTGGGTGGCAGCCACTCGATGTGTCCCTTTCACGTCGATGTTTCTCTCTCTCTCTCTCCCTCCCACTCTATCTGTACAAAAAATTGCAAAAATGTCCTCGGGTGAGGATAAAAAAAAAAAAAAAAAAGCCCTGGCCGGTTTGGCTCAGCGGTTAGAGCGTCCGCCTGCGGTCCGGAGAGACCCGGGTTCGGTTCCCGCTAAGGGCATGTACCTCGGTTGCAGTTTGTCCCCGGCCCTGGTTGGTCGTGCGGGTGGCAGCCACTCGATGTGTCCCTTTCACATCGATGTTTCCCTCTCTCTCTCTTCCTCTCTCTCCCTCCTACTCTATCTGTACAAAAAATGGAAAAATGTCCTCGGATGAGGATTAAAAAATAAATAAATAAATAAAA